GAACCTGCAGGCTCAGGCAATCCACTCACCTCAGCCTCCCAAAGGCACGGGATTACAGGCTGAGCCACCGAGCCCGGCTCCTCAGCTTTCTTTTAAACTTTTAAACAGTCTCTTAAGTTCTTCTTTAAAAATTACAAAATTAGCACAGTGAAACCATGTACAAAGAAGATCATTGGTAATGGTCCTCACTTTTTTTGTTGATGTTTACTTTGGTAGAAATGATAGCATATTATATGGACGTTTCTCTCTAGCTCCTTTTTCTTACTAACAGTCTGTTGTGGACATGCCTCCAAGTTAACAGGTTAGATTCTAAGTTATTTTTTGCCATGTATGGATTCCTGACAGTTTATTCACCTATCCCATGGTGGTGGACACTTGGTTTGTTTTCTGCTTCTTTATACCACAAGCAATGCTGAGAACCCTTGTCACTATGTCTGAAGAAAGGAGTGATTTCAAGGACCCACTAGTATCAGCTGGTAGAGAAGCTGAGTGCTAGAATGACCACTATCCTTATTCTGGACATGATAATGAATGTCACTGATCCATACCCACTCCAAACCAATTTTTATGAAGTTCAGGTTTGGCTATCTCGCTCTTTGAAAATACAAATATAGACACATAACCAAAGCAAAGTATTTACTACTTTATTTTTTAAAAATTAGAAGTGCTTAAACTATATTTCTTATATTTTATGCATCCATATATATATTTTAAACATCTTATGTATTTCATATATTTCACATATTTTTTTTCTCTCAGTTTTAAAATAAACCTAGGGCAGCGCAAAACCCAAAAGTAAGTCTTGCCCAAATTTTGTGGCTGAATAGGATTGTTCAGTTTTGTTCCTTCACTCAACAAATCCTTATTGTGGATGCACCATGTGCCAGTTACTGTTCTAAATACAGTGAGAAGACTGAATCCCTTCCTTCATGGAACGTATGTGAAGAGGAGACAGGCATAGAAAAGTGAACTCATAACTTTGTGTCCAGTAGTAAGTAATAAGCACGGGCTGTGGACTGGATGCAGGTGAGGTTGGAGTGATGGTAGGTGTCCTTGGAGGTTAGACAAGGAGTTTCTCTGAGGAGGTGGCATTGGCACAGAGGCCTGAGTGAAACATGCATGTGCCCTGTGAGACTCCTGGGGCAGGGCAGTTTGGCAGAGGGAACTGCTGAACTTCCAGGGGTGGGTAGACTCCTCACTCGTATCACTTAAGCAGCTCTGAGCAGAAGTGCACACCAGTAAAGGGTGTGTTAGCTGTGGTGGGCACTTCAGATGTTCAGTGACGTCTGTGTGCCAGTAGTGAGTTGCTTCCTGGTTAGGACAGCTCTCTTTTGGAGTGAGAAAAATAGATTAAAATATTTTTCCCTGCCGGGCTCGGTGGCTCAGCCTGTAATTGCGCGCCTTTGGGAGGCTGAGGTAAGTGGATTGCCTGAGCCCGCGGGTTCCAGACCCGCCTGGGCAGTGAGACCTCATCTCTACAATAAATCAAAAAAATTAGCTGGGTGTAATAGCGCGCACCTGTAGTTCCTGCTACTTGGAAGGCTGAGGCGGAAGGATCGCCAGAGCCCAGCAGGCTGAGGCTGCGGTGGCCAGGAGCAGCCACCACACTCCAGTCTGGGTGACAGAGTGAGACTCCAACTCAAAAAAAAAAAATTTTTTCCCCATAAAGATAGAATGACTTCTTATTTAGACGATGTTTATTTTAAGATCATGTTGGAATCTTGGGGCTATGAGTTAAACTTGGGGAGCCTTGTTGAAATTTTTGCCAAGCAAGGATCCTTTCCCCCTGTGTGCGCTGCTACTAAGTCCTAACTGGGCCTGCCCTCCTATCTCCCAGGAGCTGGGTTCAGGTCGTTGACATCGTTGAGTTAGAGAAATAATTAAGAAAAAAATTGTTGTCTAAGGAAGGCAGAAGATAACCAGGATGGTCAGGTAAACAGGCTGTGTCCAGCCCATATGGAAAGATAAGGTAGTTCCGCCATGCTCCCACTAAGACTAGCACCCTCTTTCTCAGCCTGACACAGCCTGAGGTGCCCCTAACTTTATAGCCCATCTGTCTCTGGGTGGCTTCCTGACCTGTTCTGCTCATGCCCATGGCTTCCTGGGCATGGTAGGATGGGTGCCTTGTGGCCTGGGTCATGTCATGCTATGCTCAGCCATCAGACTCTGGGAGCCGAATGGGTTGCATATCGCTAGATTAAAGGGGTTTGGCAGGACTTAGAGAGTGACTGTGAAGTGAAGTATCTGCAGTCAGCGCCTTTCGTGTTGTGTGTTTATTTAGATGGTGCCAACTGGCTGACTTTTTTCTGTCAGCCAGTGAAGAGCTGGAATGGACTGATCCTGCGAAAGCCCATAGACATGGAGAAGCGGGAGTCAATCCAGAGGCGAGAAGCCACACTGTTAGATCTGCGCAGCTACCTGTTCTCTCGCCAGTGCACTTTGCTCCTCTTCCTGCAGAGGCCATGGGAGGTGGCCCAGCGTGCCCTGGAGCTGCTGCACAACTGTGTGCAGGAACTGAAGCTCTTGGAAGTAAGTTGGCTCTTTCCCCATTTACCCATGTCTTTGTTGTTCAACCCAAAAACTCTGAACCTTGGAATCCCAGACATTGAGCTGTTTGTACTTACGAGTTTTCTGTTGTTGAATGTCTCTAAGTTTTAACATATTATTTGCATAGTTACTTTTTACTGATTAATTGCTCAGAAATAGAACTTCTGTTCCTAGCATGGTGACGTTCATGTTGGTCCAGAGCAGGCCTCTCAGCTCAATCCCTTCATATAATTGGTTAAGGTCCCTTTGGCCTATAATAACTGTATAAGCTGATCCCCATTGGTAAAAATCACCCACGTGATAGATACACAGGACTAGGTTTTGTATGTAGATATTTATTTCAAGACTGTCTTTTCAGATAAATGGTTTTGCACATGACCATGCGGGTCACAGTGTGAGTGACACACAGCAAGCTGTGCCCCCCTGATGAGTAGCACAGAGCTTAATGGAAGATATAAGTAAGTGTGTATGACTGTGTTTTGGGGTGTGTGCCAGAAGCCAGCTAGTTATTTGCCTTTAAAAATTAATTCGCTCAGCTGGGCTCGGTAGCTCAACCTGTAATCCCAGCGCTTTGGGAGGCGAAGGTGAGTGGATTGCCTGAGCCCGTGGGTTCGAGACCCACCTGGGCAACTTGGCGAGAC